ATCGAATCGTCAACATAGACTTCCATGTTTCGGCCCTTTTGATCGGCAAAAACTTGATCCACCAGCCTTTGATAGGTTGCCCCCGCATTTTTCAATCCGAAGGGCATCATTTTGTAATTGTACACCCCAGCGTTCGTGACGAATGCTGTCTTTGCTCGATCGTCGGGGTGCATAAAGATCTGATGATACCCCGAGAATGCGTCCATGAAACTAAGCAAGGCATGGCCACTTGTCGAATCGACTAGCTGATCGATCCTCGGCAAGGGATAGAAATCCTTTGGACAAGCCTTATTTAGGTCCGTGAAGTCAACGCACATCCTCCAGGTACCATTGGGCTTCTGAACCATCACCACATTTGCCAGCCATTCTGGATATTGGCAAGGTTCGATGAATCCTGCCTCCAACAATTTTTTGACCTCGGCTGCGATGTCTCGGTTCTTATTGGCGGAGTAATTCCGCTTCTTTTGCTTAACTGGTCGACACGTCGGGTCAACATTAAGCTTATGGGAGATGAGGTCTGAACTTATCCCGGGCATATCAGCTGCCGAGAAAGCAAACACATCTCTGTTGTCCCGAAGGAGCTGAATAAGTTCACAACGGGTGTTCGGATCAAGGTCCATCCCGATTGTTACACATTTCTCAACGTCTCCTTCGGCCAACTCAACTGTTTCAGTTTGTTGGTCCATGTCCATTGCTGATGGACTGGACTCTTCATAATCTGGCATGCTGCCAATGTCGGCAGGTGTCCCAGTCTTTTTGTTCTTCGGCTGGCTCTCTGAGTCTTGCGGCTCAGCTGAAGAGCTAGCCTTTTCCCTTTCGGGCCCTTTACCTCTGGGTACAGATCCTTGGGCCGAAGCACTTAGGCCTTTCGGCTTTTTTGTGCTCGGCTCTCTTTCTTTTTCTTTCTCCTCCTCATCCTTGTCATCTGGGCGACTATTGGATGGTTTGAGGTAGTTGCACCTTCGGGCGTCCTTTTGGTTGCCCTGTATCCTTTCGGGGAAGCCGGCGTCTGAGACGTAAATCATCAGCTGATGATAAGTTGAGACGACCCCTTGGATCTCATGAATTATGGGTCTCCCCAAAATCACGTTGTACACTGAAGGAGCGTCGATGACCAAAAATTCAATCATGACATTCCTGGCTGCCTCATCGCAGCCGATGGTGACAGGAAGTGTCACCTTCCCATATGGATAAGTTGAAGCCCCGTTGAACCCGGATATCGGGTAGGGTACCGGCGTAAGATGCTTGGGCTTCAACTTGATTTGATTGTAGGCCTTTCGGAACAGAATGTTTGCTCCGCTGCCACCGTCAACAAGGACCTTACTGACGTCGTGGTTGGCCACCGTGGCGATGATCACCAACGGATCCTCGTGAGGGAACGTAATCCCCCGGCAGTCGGCGGCTGTGAACGTCATGTTCGGCACCGGCGACTGGGGAGATTGAATGTCAGCGTTGTTCACCTGGTGAGTCAAAGCTCTAAGGTGTCGCTTGTGCTCCCTCCGAGAGTATATTCCTCCCGAGATAACATTGATCGGAGGGAATTTCCCCTCCGGCTTTTTACTGTTTTTCCGGGGGAAGTCGAGGTCTTGCCGAGAGTCCTTTGCTGACTTCTCGGATTCTTTTTTCTCGCGGTGATCCGCGATGTATTTTTTCAAGTATCCCTTCCGGAGCATGTCCTCTATCTGGTCCTTCAGTTGGATACACTCCTCAGTGTTGTGTCCCGAAGAATCGTGGAATTCGCACCACTGATTTTTATTTTTTCGCTGATACCACTCTGGGAGTGGTCTCGGCTTTCGGTAACTCTGCTCCTCCTTCGTCACGCTGTAAATTTTGGCGCGTGGAAGAGAGAGCGGAGTGTAGGACTCGTATCTGCCTGTGTATGAGGCAGATCTTTCCTTCTTTGGGTCGCTGGCCAAAGATTGCTCCGAGGCCTTTGACTTTCCCTTTGCCTTATGGCCTTGGCCTTCAGACAAGGGTATTTGCCTTTGTTTCCCTCCCCCAAATTGAGGTTGGGTTTTCGCTTTGTTCCATTCTTCGGCTCGGATGAACTTGTCCGAGGCATTCAGAGCTTCCTCCAAGGTCTGCGGGGTATGCATGACCATGAAATCTAGGAACTTTCCGGGCTGAAGGCCATTCTGCATTGCAAAAACGGCTAGCCCCTGGTCCAGCTGAGAGACGCTGGATGACTCGTTACTGAAACGGGTCAGATAGTCTCGGAGGCTTTCGGTTTCCCCCTGTTGTAGACTCATGAGCTCTGCAGTAGTCTTCTCTCGGCGGTTTGCCGTGGAAAACTTGCTCCTGAACTTGGAGGACAGATCATCCCACCCTGTTATGGAGCCTTGCCTTACTCCCTTGGAGATCCACGCTTGCGCGACCCCCTTGAGAGTGGTTGGGAAATATTTGCACCAAGTCGCCTCGGATCTGGGGCAAAGATGCATATGAGTCTCATACGAGGCCACGTGATCCTTCGGATCCGAGGTCCCGTCATATGTGATGTGCGACGGTATTTTAACCGTGGGTACGCGCTCTTCCAGTATCCATTGCTCGAATGGTGAACTGGCGGGTAGCATAACGGCCTTGCCCTTGTTCCTGGCCGAAGGGACCGCGCTCCGCCCTCTTAGAGAGGTAGGAGTGGTTTTCGTCCCTGGCTGGGAAGTCTGGGCCTCGGCTGCAGGGAACGAGAGGCGACTGCGCACGCTCGGTTCCTTGTCGCCGAGTCGGTCAAGGACGCTTCGGCGAACAGTCTCAGGTTCTCGGTGAGTAGATTCTGGCCGAGAAGCTGAGCTGCTGCTCTTATGCGCTTCTGGTCTTGAGGATGATGATCCTTTTAAAAATTGAGGGTTCTTTTTCCTCTCTTTTTCATTTTTCCAGGAATCCTCTTCCCACTCTTCCAGTTCTCGGAAGGAAGGAAGCTTCCCACCATCATGGTCTAACTTCCTCCGCTGATGCCGGGTATGCGGAGGAGTTCGATCACGAGGTGGTGGCATATTTTGTGCCCTCATCGCCTCCATGAGCACTGCCAACGCTCTTGCCACCTCTTCCGAGCTGGGCCCCGTCAAAGGGGTCCTCGGCCGAGTATGGGAATGAGGGCGCACAGCTGATGGTTGGCTTTGGGGCACTGAATGTGTCCTATGATCGGACTCACCCCTGCTAGACCGAGAGTGACTCGGCCTATAATGAGAGTCATGAATTACGGGAGAAAGGGAATCCTCCTTGTATGATCCTCCCCCCGAGCCGGCACCCTTGGGAGAGTTCCGGTCCGGCGAGGGTGATGGTGTAGGGGTTTTAGGCTTTTCGCCCGCTCCTTGACGGAGGCTTTTGCTCTTGCGGTTCTTAGCCATTGCTACTAAGATAATTGCAAGATGATCTTGGTTAGAAATTTGGCTTAAAGATTTTTGAAAGTCTTCCCCACAGACGGCGCCAAATTGTTTCGGGTGAAAACAATGGGACCTTGCCGAAGGTCCGCTAAAACGGAGAAGACTGGATTCGGTCCAAGTTATGCTGGGCCGAAGGTTTCCTGCACAGTAAACACACGTAAACTAGCCTCGGGGGTGTTGCCGAGGAAGGCCCCTCCGATGCTAAAATCAGTACAATGTGTAGAAAGAGAACAATATGCAAGAGAATTAGTTGCTTGAGGCTTTGCTTGAATATATGAGAATATATGAGAATGTATGTGAATGTGAATCCATGTATGAATGTATGAATATTGATGGCTTTTATACCTCTTCATACATGGAGAGGTTGGGCCTTAGCCCAATTGGCTTGCTTTGAGGGCTGGCCTTTGACTTTAGCACAATTGGAGAGTTGAACCTTGACCTTGGGCTTTTAATTGGATCATTTAATGCCTAGGCCCAATTGGACTAAATTGGACCCAAACAACTTTATGAAGAGGTATAAAAGCCATCAATATTCATACATTCATACATGGATTCACATTCACATACATTCTCATATATTCAAGCAAAGCCTCAAGCAACTAATTCTCTTGCATAGTGTTCTCTTTCTACACATTGTACTGATTTTAGCATCGGAGGGGCCTTCCTCGGCAACACCCCCGAGGCTAGTTTACGTGTGTTTACTGTGCAGGAAACCTTCGGCCCAGCATAACTTGGACCGAATCCAGTCTTCTCCGTTTTAGCGGACCTTCGGCAAAGTCCCATTGTTTTCACCCGAAACAGGAACTATAAAAACCAAAGGTTCAATAATTACATTTGCCTTAGAAAGGAATAGAAACCATAACTTGTGACATGCATCAAGCTAAAAATTAACTAAGAAAGAGTAGAAATTAAGCTAAGATAGTAAGATACAATCAATTGACGCTAGTCTTCATAATCATAACATCATCGTTAATTATTTTTTTTAACACTCTTATATAGGAGACCATTGACAATGTCTTGAAATCGCAAAAACGCAACTTCCCAAGTCCTATCGATAACCACCATGGTTAATCACTAATCATCACATTATACACCAATAAAACATGAACAGATGAACTTATACTTTAGCAATTTAATCACTAAAATATAGCCAATCACCATTCTTTTTATAGTAAGTCATCATATTGCATTTCCATATTACAAATTTCCAACCAACCGTTCTCCATACTTATACACTTGCTATAATTCTTGACATGCAACATTACAACTAGTAAAATCAAAAGACGTGGACGAAATCGTAATCCGTCCCAACATTATCGTGGTCAACGTTGATAGTGTAATTCGAATCTAGTCGGGTCGGATCCGAGTAGGTACATGACATTTGAATCATGTATTGAATTACAACCAAATTTAGTTGATATACTACCACTATCAAAAACTGTAATCACCCACATAATAATATAACACATGCATGTACCATGCATCGTTTCACCATCGATCGTCTCTACAATTAAAATATGCAAAATCCACATGCATTAACCAATCATTTATATAAACAAATCAATAAATTAAAATACCCAAAATTATTCAGTAATTACTGAATTAAAACAGAGAAACCACAAATGTAATAACATAAAATTAATTATAATAATAACAAAAAAAAAACTAACTAGTACATTACATAGATAAATAATGTAACATTGATTAAACAACAAGCTTATAATTTAAATTAACCAAAAAAAAAAACCTACATCTCTGTTTCTTATAATATTAACAACAGAGGAGAGAGAAAGGGGTAAAAAAAACTGCCGGGAAATGACGTCATCATTTTCCGGCGACCGGAATCTCACTGAACTAGTGTTGTTGAAGTTCATCAAAGGGGAGTAGGGGGTTAATTTGAATTTTCCTCACCTGCCTGTGTCATTAGAAAGCGTCACAGACCAATGTAGACCCTCCACGTGGACACCCTCCTGATATCGGGTTTCCGGGTCAATCAACCGGGTCACATCTGGATCCACCGAGCGAGTTGCGTAGGGTTGACAATTCCAGGAATATGGGTCCCATCACCCTTCAACAGTTGCGCCACGTCAGCATAGCTCCGGTTTGCCACCCGACCCAAACCCGGTCTGACCCGGCTTTCTTTTGGGCTCAGCGGCTGAACAGGGACAGCTTCGGCTCGGGCCGGGTCAAACTTCTGCCCGAATAAGGTCCCTTTGGTTAGAAACTCATGGGCCATGTAACCCGCCAAAAGCCGGTTCGATGAAACCGGACCCGAACCCGAACCCGGTTCAACCATCCTTGGTGAAGACGACGTCGTACTGTTGTGGTTAATATTATTATTATTACCCACTAAAAGCGGTTTGTGTGAACTTCCAAAACTACCCTTGTGATTGTAAAAGGATGAATTCTCTAATTCTCCTCTATCTTTGCGCTTTCGTGTGGCTGTTACCACGCTACGACTCGTGTGGTTCATCATCGCTGTCCGTTATTTCAAGGGTATAATTGTTATTTCACCTCGAAAGATTTTTCCCCTTTTATTTTAATTTTTTTTTGGAGGGTAGTGGTTTAAAATAAGAAAATAGGGGTGTATTTGTTACATCAGGGAAATGGCGTTTTTTTCGGATAAAACCGTAATTTCACAACAATTTAAAAAAAAACAAAAGGATAAATTTTTAATTTAAAAAAAAAAACAAAAAGTTTTATTTAAAATTAATAAAAAAAAAAAAAAAAAAAAAAAAAGGGTGGCCGGAAAATAGGGAGAGAGAAAGAGTGAGGGAGGAGAGAGAAGAGAGAAGAAGGGAGAGAAGGGGAATAGAAAGAATGTGAGCACGGAAGAAGTTGGGGTATTTATATAAGATAGAGTAATTAAATGACCTTATTATTTCAAGAAATATCGAGAATGCCATTGTGTAACGATGAAAAGACAAAATTGACCTTGTTATGTTGATTGAACTAGGCCCAAATAAGGTGTGGTCCAATCCAATATGAAGGTGATAGTTTGGTAACGACATGGTTTCGAAACGAATCTTGTATTTGGGATATCATAGACTCATACTATAGAAATATAAAATGCAGATATATAACCAATTAAAAATCACTCACCTTTTTCTTTCTTATTTCTCTTTTTTTTTTTTTCTTTTTTTTTTTTTGGGGGGTGGATCTTATATGATTTGTTTGCTTTTTAAATTAGGGTTGTTGGATTACAATAAGTGAATTTTAAGGTGTGATTAGCTTTGATATTCATTTATCATATGTAACATTGCAAGTCAGTTCTAATACGTAGCATCTTTTTTGAGAAAAAAAAATTACTAAAGGTTATTTTATCGAAAAAAATAAATCAAAATGTAACTCTAACTATGTGAATTAATTTATGGTCGTTTTGTACCTGGATTGGGATGGGTAGAATCTTCAATTCTATAAGGTTTTAAAACAGTTTTGTTATCATAATTCCTTTTCTTAACACTATTCACATTTTTCGTAAGGAATGATTGTATATGAAAGTATATGAATCGAAGATATGATAGATTCATCTTGGTTTGATCAAATTATTGAAATATACTTATTTGTGTTGGTTAAACTTCAAATGAAATAACATTATATATTTTCTTCTGAATTCAATGTTTGTAAGGAGGAGATGATGTTTCAAGGGGGTGTTGACCACTCAATAATTGATTAATGTTGAGTTGCTCGATTTACCATAGCAAAAATTACAATCATTCTTGGAAGAACAAATTGAATTTGTTTGGCCTACTCTATTACTAATTGATAATTGTCTGGGGCAATCATTTTTTTATTTTTATTTTTTAATATAAAACTACCTTGATTAATAAATGTGGTACATAATAACCCGGTATAACTGATTTACCTAAGGATGATTGTTCAATTAATCGTGGATGAATCGATGGATTATATGATCGAATATATGAATGCAGATGATGCTCCATCAATTATTACGAGTGTCTATTAAGTCTTTCTACATCTCATTTTATTAAATGTTTTTCTAATTTAAAATGAATTGTATGTGTTTATTGTTTCCTAGTCAAACTCATAAATAGTAAGCACATTGATATGGTAGGTCTTAATTACCTACACAGTAGAAAGGTAATCCAGTGTTCATGATGAATCATGCATTGATTTTGATCAATGATCACAATACAACAAACTTCTTTTATAAAATATGCATCATCGTCTAAGACATCAATAATCCTCAAATATTTCACGCTCGCACATACTTAATTTGACATAGTTATACATCACCTTTACCTTTTTTTTTTTTTCCTCTTTTGTTTTTTCTTTTGGGTTTTTCTACCTAGTAACCTTGTAATATTCACTTTTTCAAGCTGTGGTCCCCGCTTTTCAAACTTCCACACTGTTACTTCAAGGTACATTAAGTGATTACGCTGTAACCTTGGCGTTAACCTTCCGTTAGCTGTTGCCGTTAGTGGGGCCCACTTTACACATATTAAATTTTTTTCGATTTGCGTGCTAAAAAAAATTCTGTTAGAAGTTTTAGGGGTCATTTTAACCCTTAAGGATCCAAATCGAGCACAAATTTGGAAAAAAAATAACGTAGAAGCCCCATTTTGTGAATTCGGATTTTTGTAGTTAAAATTAGAATTCACAAAATGGGACTTTTACGTTTTTTTTTTTTTCTTTTTTTTTGTCAAATACGAGCTCAATTTGAATCATTAAGGGGCAAAATGATCCCTAATACCTTTAACGAGATTTTTTCAGCACGCAAATCGAGAAAAAAATATTAAAAAGTACAAAGTGGGTCCCACTAATGGTGATCGTTAACGATAGGATAACGCCAAGATTACAGCGTAATCGTATCTTGAGATTACAGCGTGAAAGTTTGAAAATGAGAGGGCACAACTTGAAAAGTGAATATCACAGGATTACTATGTAGAAAAACCTTTTTTTTTTCTCTCTCTCTTTTAACTGATCTAACAATCCAAATTCGACTAGACATTGAAAACCACGACTCATGTTAAGCTTGAAATAATAGAGCATAAGATGTGCTAAGAATACAGAAAAATTATTATTTTGATTATAAAAGTTATATTCCTTTTTCATGTCATTAAATGACATTGTTCTTCTCAATTTTTTTTTTGAGGCCTCCAATTTTTTTTAATAGTACAACACCTACAAAATATTTAAAACGACCCTGGTACGAGATATATCTCATTGAAAATTTTCAAATTGAAAATAAGAGAATGAATATGACTTAACTATATTCTAACTAATCTAAATAAAGAAGTGGAAAATATAAGAGGTAAAGTCAAACGTTTCCACGTTGAGTGACTTAAATTGATTAACCAATAATATAATTATGTTACAACTAATCATCTTTATAGTGGGTTTATACTTCTGCTTTTTACAATGTTTGCAAAGTATTGTTGTTTTTTTGGTATTTAGAGAGCCACAAGGGTGAGTGTTGAGAATCGATCCAAGGATCACTTGAAATCGGGAGGGAAGTTTTAACCACTTGAGTTATCCCCCATTCTCAAGTATTATCGTTTTGATTGATTTATATGAAGTATTCCGAACTATTCCAAATTGCGTGACTACTTAATTAATTTTAACATTTTATTTTATGTTGTATACTTGTATAATGCATTATTGTACGCTTGTATAGAATCTACATTGTACTCGTGTATTAGTGTTTCATTAACAATAAAGCCCAATAAAAAAAATTGTTTGGTCATTAGGAAACTCAAAAGAAAAAAATTTCAATTCAATGACAAACTGAGAAAGTGAAAAGACTTGACCTAGCTAGATGAAAAATTCTACAATAGTCGTTTGAAAAATGACTATTTTCTCCGTTTCGTAATAATTGCAACACTTTCCTTTTACATTCGTTTCATAATAGTTGCAACACTTCCTATCTTAGTAAGGACCCACTACTATTATATTATTTCTCTCTACCACTTACCCCACTTGCATAAATATTTGATTACTTTGTAACACTCCCAAATCTCCCTCTACGAAAATACCAGTATAATACGTATAATTATATCGTAGATATAGATTTAGGCGTATTATCGCCGCGTGATTACGCAAGGCTACCAAAACTACTAACCAAAACCAATACTTTGCAGCGGAAACTCAAACTCTTTCTTTATTAATAATAGATATAAATAGAAATCGTTGTCATGAGTACTCATAAATAAACAAGGACCAACATTCCTAATCTAGGTGAAGAACATCCCGGAACTCCCATATGCTCAAACATTGACTCCACCTGAAAATAGCAAACACTGCTTACCATTACGGTAAACAGGGCGAACCAAAACAAATATGAAATACGGATTAGCAAAATATGCTAAGTACGATAAGTGCAAGAAAAGTAAACTCAATTTATTTGCAAACATGCTTTTAAAACCATTTCCAATGTTACTCCAATAATTCTAAACTCAATATTCCAAAACCAATTCCAATAATTCAATAATTCCAAGCTCATAATTCCAAAACCAATTCCAATAATTCAATAAAACGATTTACAAAATCAATTCCTCTTTTTAAAACCAATTCCTCTCCCAAGTGTGCACACCCCCCAAGCTAGTCTCCTACTATTTCAAGGCTATTCTCGAGGAAAGACTCGGTCATGCAAAGTCCAAAGTCTTATCAACCAAATCCGCATAGTGGGATACTCTCAATATGCTTGTAAAGCTTTAATAATAATAATTCAATAAATCCTTTTCAATTCAATAATTCCAATGTAATTCAAAACCCCTTTTTATTTAATTCAACACTCTTTCAAAACCAAATCTTTTAAAACATGATAAATAATTTTAATCATTAAAACATGATATAATAATCAATCCTCCAATTTATTCATCAAAACCAATTTTTAAACATGCTTTTATTTCATAAATCATAGTTCAATTCAATCATCATAAAAATCATATAAAACATGCTTATTCAATCCAATCAATTTTAAAGGTATCTAGCCACCTAAACGTACCTTTGATCCTTGCTTAGCACACACAAAAGAACTTTCAAGAACTTCGATCAAACACACCCTACAAATAAATATAATCTTAATTAATATAAGGTTAACAAATAATCACAACAATTAAATTAAAAACCCCCAACTATATGTACATGAGCCTTTTAAATTAATTTTCATAAACTTGAATAAAAATTTGATTTTATTTATAAAACTACTCATAATAATTTTTTAAAATCCCCCATAATAATAATAATTAATTAAATAAGAGAAGAGAAGAAGAAGAGGTAGAAAACCAAGGAAAAAGAAGAAGAGAGGTGGCGGCAAGGGAGGCGGCAATTGGCGGCTGGTGGTGGCGCTGGTGTTTGGTGGTGGTGGTTGGCGCAAGAACAAGAGAGAAAGAGAGAAGAGAAATTAAGAGAGAATTAGAGAATTTGGTGTGAGTGTTTAGCCATGAATCAATGGGTATTTATAGGCTAGCTCATGCAAGAATTATGGTAGGAGAATGTAGGAAGAATTACGGTAAAAAGAATTAAGGAAATTACTTGGAGAAGAGAGTTTAAGAATTATGGAAAGTTTAATATTAAGGTGATTAAGAATAATAAAATTAAGGAAAGTATGTTGTCATGAAAAATAATATGGCAAAAGGAGTTTGCTTGGGGAATAATCAAGGATGAAATAAGGTAGGAAAATAAGATGATCAAATATTTAGAAGATGGGAAATAAGAATTAAGGAAAATAATAGATTTAAGGGAGATAATTAAAAATACAATTTACCAAAATAAATCAC